AAGGCTTGCATTTTAAAGGCCATTGACAAACCGGAGCATGTCCAGAGGAGGGAGGTCAAGATGGTCAACGTTTTGGAAGTGCTATGAGGAACGATTGAAAGCATTGGGCATGCTTAAGCCAGGAGACGAGACTTTTAAGGAGTGCTATGATTGTGGCCTTCAAGTATCTTTTTTCCCCAATATAATTTTTATTAAACTTTCACTTTAAACAATAAACAATAATTTCATATATACACCTACCAATCTCATTCCCTACCGCTCTGCTGAGCTTATGACTTTCCTCCATCCCACTAACAAGCTTTCCCTTTTCAAATCTATATCTCATAGTTTAATCTTATAGTGGCCTTCAAATATCTTGAAGGGCTGTCATTCAGCAGGTGGAGCAGGCATGTTCCACAGGGCAGGACTAGAGCTGATGGAGGAAAACCACAATGAAGTAGACTTCAGCTGAACAGAAGAAGAAACTTCCTACAGCTCAAGAGTGGGAGAGACCTGCTTTGGAAAGTGCTCACCTCACCTTCACTGGAGATACTCAGAAGTTGTATCTGCATTGCCCTCCTATATTTGGCAAGGGATGGGACTTGATTGCCATCATGGCCTTTTCCCATTCTGATTCTATCCTTTTATGCTGCCTTTATCTCCAGAGTTTTGTTCATGATGATTCTGCTTTTTAAAAGTTAGATTTCTTAAAAACTTTTATTGTTCTTTTCTATTGGGGGGAGACTTGGGGAAGGCGTGGGGAGGGGTATCAGGCTGAAAAGCAGTATATAAATGTTTTTGCTTTCCTCCCTCTGATCTCTTAACCTCTTTTCTTCTTCTTCTTTTGGTTGTAAGCCTGAGGAGAGCGGCTGCCTTATTACTGATGTTTGTAAGCTGCTTGCAGAGCTTTTTTCAGATGTGAATTGCTGTGCAGGAGAGCCATGATTAGATCTCCTGGATTTCTTTATTTCTCTTCTCCGGACCAAAAACAGAGATGACTGTGATATATAATCATGGACACCCCATGCTTCCATTGTTTGGCCTTCATCCTTGGGTGAGATTTGTCAGCCACTTTCCAAAATGTTTGGTAAACGTTGTGGCATAAACTAACTGTGACTTAGCCACTAGATGGCAGTGCCATTTGCCTAGAATAGATGATGGTTTCAATTTTATTTAAGCAATAAAGATTATGACTGCCAGTGTTCTCCTAAGCCTTCCGTAAAACAGTGTGTGTGTGTGTTTATTCCATTCCATTTATGAATAATCTCAAAGCAATTTATCAGTAAAAGAACATATAAAACAATTTCATATTTAAAAATGATCTCAAATTCAATGCAGTTTCAGGGATAATGTGAAGCTGCCTTCTATTAAGTCAGAATATTGGTCCATCTAACCCAGAACTGTCTACTCCAAGAGACAGCAGTTATCAAGGATCTAGGGCAGAAGATATGCCTGGAGTCCCATGTCCAGTTCTGGGTGCTACAATTTAAGAAGGATGTTGACGAGCTAGAATGTGTGCAGAGGAGGGCAACCAAGATGATCAAGAGTCTGGAAGCTAAGCCTTAGGAGGAGCACTTGAAGGAATTGGGTATGTTTAGCCTGGAGAAGAGGAGACAGAAAAGAGACATGATAGCCATCTTCAAATATCTTCAGGGCTGACAGATGGAAGATGGAGCAAGCTTGTTGTCTCCTGCTCTGGAGGGTAGGACTCATACCCATGGCTTCAAGTTACAAGAAGGGAGATTCCGACTCAACATCAGGAAGAATTTTCTAATGGTAAGAGCTGTTTGACAATGGAACGGTCCTCCTTGGGAGGTGGTGGACTCTCCTTCCTTGGAGGTTTTTCAGCAAAGGTTGGGTGGCCACCTGTCATGGATGCCTTATCTCAGTTTCCTGCATTGCAGGGGGTTGGACTAGATGACCCTCAGGTTCTCTTCCAGCTCTACAATTATATGATCCTAAGAATGCCACATAGGGATGTGGGTGGCGCTGTGGTCTAAACCACTGAGCCTAGGGCTTGCCCTGAGTTTGCAGGGTTAGTCTGTATGATACCTGAGCCCCTTCTAGTTTCTGGGGTCCTAGATCCAGCAAGGGTTAAAATCTAAATTGAGGATTCCATTGTTGAACTAATCAGACAAGTTTCTTTGTGAGAGACTGTCCATAGTTGCCACCCAAGGACCACCTTAGGACGCAGGTGGCGCTGTCGTCTAAACCACTGAGCCTCTTGGGCTTGCCGATCAGAAGGGTGAGCTCCCGTTGTTTGGTCCCTGCTCCTGCCCACTTAGCAGTTCGAAAGCACGTCAAAGTGCAAGTAGATAAATAGGTATCTCTCCAGCGGGGAGGTAAACGGTGTTTCCGTGTGCTGCTCTGGTTTCGCCAGAAGCGGCTTAGTCATTTTGGCCACATGACCCAGAAAAACTGTCTGTGGACAAACATCGGCTCCCTCGGCCAGTAAAGCGAGATGAGTGCCGCAACCCCAGAGTCGTTCACGACTGGACTTAACTGTCAGGGGTCCTTTACCTTTACGAATACCACATGTAGTCCTTGGAAGGTAGCTCATGGAGAAATGTGGCCCTCAGACTGCAAAAGATTCCCCAACCTTAAATACTTAATTTAGGTTTGGAAAATCATGTCTTAAAACATAGAGCAGCATATGGTTTCTCGTCTTCTGGTTTGTGGATTGTATAGTATACTAGAAGGGCTGTCTAGTTAATTACAGAAACCCCAGGCAAACAATGTGGCAATTAGAAGCAGAACAAGCAGATGGAAAAGTTCTCCTCCTCCTTTGAATTTTTCCGGTATTACTATTTCTCACAAGGTTTAAAACAGGTTTAAGCTGGGAAGCTGTATTATTTGAAAAAAACAGGTCCAATTAATCATCTTGGATGTGTGTATTGGTGTGATTTTTTAATGTTTTTATTTTTTGCAATGAGCTCCAAGTCTTTTGTGAAATGTGAGTTTTGTTCTTCCACAGCCTACGAGCAATCTGTGCAAAGCACTTGGCTTGGACATTCATTAAGCAATTTGTCATCCCGAGAAAAGCAGCGCTTGCAGGCAATATCCTCACCAAATCTGTGCCTCGTGGCGGCTGCATTGAGCATCTTTTGTGTTTCTCTGGAGTCTGCACTCAGCACAGGTGCCACCTGCAGGAGATATCCTAGAATTAGCAACAGCATTACCGAAGCCTTTGGCACAGAAAGTGAATATTTTATTATCTTCAGTTGCTTCCATATTAGCCCTTTTCTCTGAAAGTAATCTTTTTTAAAAAAGAAAAAGAAAGAAAGAAAAATAGCAAGTAATGAGCCTACTGCCAAGGCCTAAGAAATGCCTGCTTTGTGATGCAGTTAGCAGTCTTAGGGAAGCCAAAATAGTTTCAGGATTCTGAGCAGGTGCGTTTGAGAGAGTTTAACCCTTTCTCCCCCTGCCCATGGTTTACCCTCTCCCTTTGCACTGCAAAGGAAGCCTCTACGCTGTTGCAATCACAGGCTTCCCTTGAAAGCAGCTTCAGATGTAGTCCTGTGGACACATGCCTGGGAATCAGCCCCCTTGAACATGGTGGAGTTTAGGCTGTGTCCACAGCAGGGTGCAATTGCATCCCTGGGCTGTTTCCATGTGTGCATTCATGCATCTTTGTCCACACGTGAGTGCTTTGAAGTTTATCCAGGCTACTGGATGACACACTGCGCTGCCCCTCCACTCAATCACTGCTTCCCTGCTCACCATAACTTCCAGAAACCTGAGCTCTGTTGTGGATATGCACCTTAAATATATATATACTACTATTGAAACGTTTCTCGAAATACTCGTAACACCACCTAAGCGAGTTTGCTAATCATTGGATATCCCTACTTCTGCTTGTTGTGATTTCTCAGTGTGATAAGTATTATGATATTGTGAATATTGTGATTAATATTGTGATGAGCAAAACTTGTCTTGCTGGGCTGTTAGCAGGAAACCTTGATTCAAGGGTCTTTTGAGATGAGGGTCCCTTACTGCCTCCTGCTGCATCTGCCTTTTACACTCAGATCTAGAGTAGGGGAGCTCCTCTTCCTGGGTCAGCATCCCTAACTGTGCTGGTCCCATGGGTTACCCGAGAGGAGAGGTCCAAGTCTGGTCCATGGTCAAAGATGCAACGTGGAAGCAGTCCGTAGTAGATGTAGCTGGATACAGGGCAGAGGGTCGGGTGAAATCAGGAACAGGCATGCAAGCAAGGAGCCAGGGTGGGTCAGGAGCTCTGGCAGAAAAGCAGGACAGGGTTCAGGCAGGAACCGGCAACCAATAATGTTGCTCCTGCAACTTGGGACTGGGGCTGGCCAGCCTTTATCTGCCCTGAGGCATAGAGCGGCCCCGATCCTCTGGTGACTTGCCTCTCCTGGCCTGGAGGCGAGTACTCCTCCTGCGGGAACTTAGTTCCCTCCGCCTCTCTGCCCTGAGCCTCTGCAACTCAGGAGAGGCTGGAGGGTTACCGGACCCAGAGGCAAACTCAGCTTTCTCTGCTGGGGCTGAGAGTGGAGCACCTGCAGGCAATGGGCCCTCCATCACCTCAGGGGCCAGAGCAGACTCAGCTGATGCCTGCACCTGAGGATCCAGCACAGGTGAGGACCCTTCAGGCTCATGCCTCAGCCCCGGCTCAGCTGGTTCTGGAGGCGGGGAATCCTGTGCAGGCTGGGATCCCTCAGGTTCAGCATCCGAGTCCAAAACCCAGGCCATTACACTATCTCTAACGAGGCCACAGCATTTTGAAAGCTCTGAACACAACATTCTAGCTTCGTCACAGCTGAAGGAGTTACAATCTGAAAACCCCTCCCTTTATGCTCCGGTACATCTGGAATGTCCTTTTTGCCTCAGAATGTAATGCCAGGAGAATGGCCAATGTGAGGCAATCCCCACAACCTTCTCCCTGTTCCAGAATCCCTATTCCACAATCTAGAATTTTCTCTAGCTCCCCCACAACAGTTCCATTGCAGGGTAAGTAGACTAGACTGCATCCTGCATTAACAAGGCCATTAACCATCTGCAGGACTGAACCCAGCGGCTGCTGCTGCTGCTGCTGCTGGCAAGTGCCCAGCTGGTTCTGCAACTCAGTGCGGCAAAGTCAGAGGCAGGTTAAGAGAAGCAGAAATTAGGAGAGGGATAGGAAAGAGGCATGGGAGGAGGCACTGGAGAACGCTGGGGATAGAACACCGAAATGGGCTCTGTGTGTATTTGTGCACTTACAGATTATCCACATAAATAGCAGAAGCTTCCCAGGGGGGGCTGGTGCCCTTTGGCAGGACCGAGAAGGCATCCACACTGCCAGCAGCAGCAGCCGTGACTCTTCTGCAGGAGAGGAGCGTCTAGGCTCTGAAGAGCCCACGCCATGCAGTTGATGGAGGCACTGAATGTAGCAGCCGCCGCCGTTCCTTCTCTCCCAGAGTCAGGGCTGGGGGCCCAGAGAGGCCCCTGACAGATCTGGGGAGGGAGAGTTATGAAGGAAGAGAGGGAAGTGACCAGGGCAGCACTGAGCCCAGCCTAGCTTCCCCAGTAGCCAGCCAGGGACCTCTCTTGCCTGGGTGGGTATTTGCACAGCTCCTTCTCTCAGGCAGCCTGGCGGCCCTGGAGGAAACTGCACCTATGTCTGGGGAAGGAGAGAGAGCCTACATCCCAGATGATTCCGACTTCAGCACTTTCCGGGACCAGTGTGAAAGCCAGGAAGGCTGGAGCAGCCGGTATAACAAGGGAGGAGTGGCAGTGTGGACCCAAATGCAGCAGGAGAGCAAGACTGTCCAGAAAATCAAGGTAAGGGGGTGGCATTCAGCTATGGCTTACTCAGAGTAGACCCATTGGAATTAATGAACACGACATTCATCCCAGAGGCTCTGCTCTGAGTAAAACTTACTTGAATGCCACCCAGGGACCCCTGTCTGGGCTTGGGAATCATGGGTGGTGATGCAGCACTGCCCACCCCCCCTTCTGCCCCCTCTGATTTGCCCAGGAGCCTCTTCTCCTACTCCTGCCCCAGAATGCTGGACTCCAAAACAAAGGTTTGCTCCAAAACAAGCATCCCTCTTGCTGCGCTCAGTTCTCAAATTAATCCAGGCTGCAGAATGTGCAATGCTGCAATTCAGCTAGAATGTTAGAGGTCCCGGAAGATCCTTTGGGCTCTCACATTCCCTTTTCCTCATCCTCTTCTCCCCTTTCTTTTTTTCTGTGAGGGATCTCTGCTGTTTTAGCCTCCGAGCACATTTTACAGACAGAAATATCCCTGTTCAGGTATCTTGGACATGAACTGAGATAGATCTAGGGGAAGATAAGGCTGTGTTTTTGAGTGTCCTGCCCAGACGTAAGGGAATTGAACACTGTATATGGATTTGATAGCAGATAAAGACACAAGCTTTTGAGTTGTGGTTAGCCCTCAGAAAGAGGCTGATTCAGTTTTCACTCACTGGCTCCACACATTGTTTTCTTGAGCTCACATATTGACATTGAGGTGCTGCTTATTCCATATCTAAAAGGCCTGGGATCAATACAATGGAACCTGGTTTACTTGTGTACACAAATATTCTTTATTTAACCAACGGTTAGTTGTGATTTACATGTTTACTAAAAAAAAAAAGTCACACTGTGCTTAGCGGAGTTTATTTATTTTCAATAAGTGTGTCTAGAATTTCTAAGCAGAATGTTCAAAGGGATTCCTGTGACTTTAATGTTTGTATGGCTGAGAGAAAGTTCTGAGATAATGGCTTCTTTTCTCATGCCTTACTGGGCTGGGCAGATGGCAGGCAGGGAGATTGATGGTGAAATCAGTGCTGCTTATTCGTGGAGGTTTTCACACTGTTCACATGATGTAATGGTCATCAAAATTCCAGCCTATCAGTGGCATGTGTGTGTGCTCCAGAGGGGCCCTGGCCCCATGTGCAGAAGCAGGTGCCCCCAGCCTGGCCCAGAGCTTTTCTTCTGGCATTGGAGGAACCAGCACTCACGGAGAGGAGCACTAGGCCGCGCTGCGCTGCGGGGCGCCTGTGTAGGGCGCCTGCTTCGTGCCCACCAAGTGCTGTTAGCTGGCCAGGCTCCGCCCCCCATGTGGGTGGGCCGGCACCAACTCTCCCAGTCCAGGAATAGCCATAGCTCTCGAACCAGCCACGGTTGGTGGAAGGCCCTTCTAGATGGTATACACACATCTGAAATATTCCTCTGCTGGATTAAATAATTCCTGTGTAGAGACATTTAATCTTCAGACAAGGGAGATTGGGCATCTGGATGTCTCATTTCCAAACAGTGAAAGCCCCCAGCCCACCCCAGCCCACCGTGTGTGCGTGGATTGCCGGTGGAATAATATGAGCTCTTCTGTACATGAATACCAAGATGAAAATAAGGACAAAAAAGAGAAAAGGCAGTATAAAAAAGGGATAGCTCTTTTCATTCGGCATCTGGCTAGTATTTAATTAAAAATGAGAACAGGATAATGAGCAGCAGATACCATCTTGCTAATCTTAGTCCATTGCTTTCAACTGTGCTAAGATAGATGCAGATAGATAGATCCATGAAGTACCAACTGCCTGAGGCACTTAATCCTACAGACAGCTTTAGTTACAGGTGTCGTCATGACTTTGGTTACCACTAATCTGAGGTGGATCTAAACATAGGGGGGTAAACGCTATAAATAAGACAGATCAGAACAAAAGAAAAGAAATCTCTATGGGAAATCGTGTTTTAAAATTTCCTGCTCTCTGGCGCCATCTGGTGTTGCATGTTTATAGCACATTCAAATGGCAGTTTCTTTAATAATGTAGATGAGTCCTCGGTCTCTAGTTCAGGGCGGAAACCACCTGCAGACTTATGAGATCTGGAATCGTTTTCTCAGGCTGGATCTAGACACATCAAAAAAGTGTTTCAGGAAAACGCATTGTAAACTTCATAAAGGGAAATTACAATGGCGAAAGACGGAACTCCACAGCACCATCTGTTGTCACAGTGTTAAAATGCATATAAAGCGCTTTTTCTTTACTAATGTAGTTGAATGCTCAGTGGCAAGTATCTGGTTGCCTCCACCAGACATTGGGTGGAGAATTTCCATGTTTCTTTCACTCCCTTTTTGCAGGGTTTCACTACCGTGCCATCATCTAGTCATGGTCACCTTGTATTCAAAGGCCTATCCATTGAAACAGAAATTGAATTGCTTTTGAGAAGGGCTGACCCTCGTGGGTCCTTGCTCTGTATATGAAATGCTTTGAACACTCCCAAGTGTCTCCACATTATTCTCTTCCTGCAGGATTAATGGGTGGCAGAGGAGTGGGGCCCCGTCAGGACGTTGCCCCCAACCCCCAGTCACTTTCCGAGGGTGTTGTGTGCTGACTATGGAAATTTGCCCCTTTTTGAGCTCCCTGATTGGTGGAGGGAATAGATGGGCTTCTTTGAACGACAACATTTAAACATGTGGAGATGAAGAGAGGGGACAGATGCCCCCCAAATTCCAATGCCTGGATGATGTGTTCAAGATGCAGACCCTCAAGGAGTGGCTGAGGAATTTCCTCTCAGGACAGCTGCCTCTCTCCTGGAGCATCCTTTGGGATTCTCCGTCTCCTTGGGAACTGGAAGCTCAGAGCTGCGTCATGCAAGAAAGACCTTAAGAAAGCCAGGGAGGCCCAGGCCAGGACACTTGCACCGCCACCAAACAACCTGAGAGGACTATGTGGCTCTACAGTTTATACTGTTCATTTGTTTTAGTGTTTGAAACTGGTAAACCACCTTGGGTTCCTAATGGGGAAGGTGGTATATAATTGCAGCAAGCAAAGACGTCGGACGCAGGGGCTATTGCATTGCACCTCACAACTGAGAGTAAAACCTTTGGGATTGTGAGAGGTTATATGTTCAACACCAGCAGATGCTAAACAAAATACCGTATTTTTCGCTCTATAAGACACACTTTTCCCCCTCCAAAAATTAAGGGGAAATGTGTGTGCGTCTTATGGAGCGAATGCAGGCTCCATGGCTTCGCGTTGCTTCCGCTGAAGCCAGGAGAGGAAGACTCTCCTGACTTCAGGGATAGCCGCCCAAAGCTTCCAGAGGCTTCGCGTTGCTTTCGCTGAAGCCTGGAGCGAGAGGGGTCAGTGCGCACCGATCCCTCTTGCTCTCCTGGCTTTGCTTTGCTGGAGAGGAGCTGCACAGCTTTCCCTCTCTGCGCAGCGCCCCTTCAGCCAAGTGGGAGGAGAAATGGAAGGGGCTCCGTTTCTCCTGCCGCTTCGTTGGAGGGGCGCTGCGCAGAGAGGGAGAGAATTTTTTTTCTTGTTCTCCCCCTTTAAAACTAGGTGCGTGTTATGGTTGGGTGTGTCCTATAGAGCAAAAAATACGGTAAACGAAATCCACTTATATTAATAAATCACACAAAATATTCACATAGCTGCCATTTTATTGATTTTGCATAATCCATAAACCTGGTTTCAGAATCCAGGTTTTCTTGGCACATAATTGACCTCTCCCCAAGTTATCTGCTTCTGTTCCAAATGGACTGCTGCTCCACACATTTGCTTGTGATGGATTGTTTGAGCTAAGCCAACTGAAGAGAAAAGCTTGGGCTAAGTGCACTTGACCTTGTTTTGGGTTAAGGCGTCTCATTACAGAAGATCTGACTAATAACACAGTGATGGAATCTGAAGAGCCACGTGGTGCAGCTCTTGCTGGATTGTACCAGCTCAGACTGAAGCTTAGGTAACGCTCAACTCCCTGTATGCAGAAAAGTAACGTGTAAAGTAAAAGGAAGGCTCAGTCACACTCACTTTTTGCCCCATTCTTTCCAGGAACAGATCTGTGCTTAAAAGCTCCAAACAAACGTGTTTCTTTTGTTTGTTGCTACTGCTCTGGGGCTTTTCCTGTGAAAACCCGCTCCTTAATAGCCAGTCAGGACAAACATCCATTCAGGTTTTTAGTGGTTTGCTCTGATAGAGCTTTAAAGAGCAAGTTTTTGTGAGGAAAAATCTGGAGTAAATAAAGGAGCTTTAAAGTGCAGACCGTGCCTGGAAAAAAGCAGGGGATGTGAAGTTTAGCTTGTTTTATTACAATTTCCCTCTCACTTGCCCAGCCTTTGCCCTACCCCTTGGTAAAATGTTTTGCCTCAGAGTCTGATGACACAGCTGCTGTGCTAGCAGGTTTTCAGTGCATGATCACACAAATTCCTTGCCACACAGATGCGTATCGTCTGCCGTGATGTGCCTCCAGAGACGCTCTATGATGTTCTACATGACACCAGTTACCGCAAGAAGTGGGACTCCAACATGATTGAGACCCATGACATTGGGCGCCTGACTGTCAACGCAGATGTTGGATATTACTCCTGTGAGCAACCTTGCTTCTTGCACTTGACGGGCTTGGAACCCCTGACAGATTATGTGGCTTCCTAGAAGAAAGCACTTCTTGTGCCTCTAAACTACGTCCCCATCTGTGCCCAGAGGGGCTCCTGGGCTTGGGGCTGGTGTATATTGAGAATGTCATTGGATTAAGTAAAGGTAAAGGGACCCCTGACCATTAGGTCCAGTCGTGGCTGACTCTGGGGTTGCGGCGCTCATCTCGCTTTATTGGCCAAGGGAGCTGGCATACAGTTTCCGGGTCATGTGGCCAGTATGACTAAGCCGCTTCTGGTGAACCAGAGCAGCACACGGAAACACCGTTTACCTTCCTGCCAGAGCGGTACCTATTTATCTACTTGCACTTGACGTGCTTTCAGACTGCTAGGTTGGCAGGAGCAGGGACTGAGCAATGGGAGCTCACTCCATTGCGGAGATTCGAACCACCAACCTTCTGATCAGCAAGTCCTAGGCTCTGTGGTTTAACCCACAGTGCCACCCGTGTCCCATTGGTTTACTCCGCTGCAATCCTAGACCCACTTACCTGAGGGTAATTCAGGACTTCTTTCTGAGCAGCCAAGGGTAGGCCTGCACTGAAACCCTTAGTCCTGAGCTTCTTGCATCCCCCAAAACAAAACAAAAAACTCAGCTGTAGCTGGATGACCACCTACCAGGGGTGCTGTAACAGTGGGTTTCCTGAGGCCCCTTCCAGCTGAATGGTTTTCTGAGCAGAACGCCACATTCTACATTCTGCCATGCACATTAAATAAAACGAATATTTGCTCAACTAAGGTCTGCCCGAAACATGGCATGCAAACATGGCATTTCTTTTTCTTTTAATGTGGGGTTCTGAATGGGCATTGGGGAAGGAATGGCAGAGGTAGAACTAGCAGTGAATACTTTGCTGCTCAGGTCAGGAAAACATTTAGCAAGGAGGACAGGTAGATCCAGGTACACACGGGAGCTGCTTCATTAATGCTTGGTATTTATATAGTGCTATTCAAAACGCATCTCTGTAGGCCAGTGTTATGTCCCCAGAACAGAATGGGGGTGAACCATGTTCTCTAGGCAACGTCTCTAGTGAGGCATTATTTCCTCCTGGGGTTTTTCATTTCAGTATGTTCTTGCTAACTGTGTTTCTTCTCTTGCAGGGAGGTGCCCAAGTCCTCTGAAGAATAGGGACTTTGTTACCTTGCGCTCCTGGCTGCCCCTTGGCCACGACTACATGATCATCAACTACAGCGTCAAACATCCAGTGAGCTCCTTGCAGCTGATCCTTGGGTGGTGCTTGCGGTCCTGCCTTGCAGTTCAGAATGGGAAGCAGGGATGGGCGCCATCCCTGGCTTGGTACCCTGCTGGCAAGGAAGAGGAAGGGGTACAGAGCAAGGGGTTTCCCCCCCACCCCATCCCTTCTCTTCCTTTGCTCATTGCAGAGACACAGAATTCCTTCTTCCTCAACCCCCTTCTCTCAGCCATGCCAGTTTCTCAACCCCCTGGCCTCATTTGTAATCCTTTAAGCCTCCATTAAAAGCATGCCTTTACTCAAAGGAACCTAGGAAGTTGCCTTCTACAGAGTCAGACCATTGCTCTATCTGGCGGAGTAGCTGGCATGGGGTTTCAGAGACGGACAAGTCTCTTCCAGACCTACCTGGAGGTTGAACCTTGGGCCTCCTGAATACAAAGCATGTGTTCTAGCACTGAGCCATGGCCTTACACCAAGTCAAGGGGATCATTTCTAGCTGCCATGCAGCAAGAATATCTCACTCACCTCTTCCTGAGTTGGCCACTGTGGGGAACTGGCAGCCTCTTCAGTGGGGTTGCTGCTGCTGCTTCTCGGCTTGGCTCTCTACCAGTTTCTTCCTTTCCCTCCTTCGCTCCCTCCATGGTCCCTGCTCCTACATCTGAGGGCCCTTAGTGCATATGCATCTGTTTCCACAAAGGGCTTATTGTGTGATTCAGTGCCTTCACGAGTTCCCCTTCAAATGGACACTCATGTCGGTGACTGCATGTATGAACCAAGCCTTAGACTGTGGGGTCTCTCTGCAGAAGTACCCGCCCCGAAAGGACTGCGTGAGGGCCGTATCCCTGCAGACGGGCTACTTGATCAAGGCAACGGACAAGAGTGGCTGCATTCTTTACTACCTCACCCAAGTAGACCCTCGAGGTGAGCATCTTTACGCCCAGGTTGTGGCTGGGAAAAGACAAAGCCTGAGAGAGAGGGGGAAATTGTTCCAGGCAGTGCCCAAGTCAGTGTTGAGGGTTCAGGGTGATAAATACTGTAAAGGGGAGATTCCCTAAGGCACAGGTAGGAACCATTTTTGGCCAGATTGCAATCATCTGAGGTTGTTATGACATCACTCATGAGTCGAAGCCCTTGGCACCATGTTTTTTTATTTATTAAAGGTTTTTTATTTTATTTATTAAAGATATTTATTAAAGGTTTAATAATTACAGAAAAAAGAAGAAACAATAAAAAGTTCACAATACATCAAAAACAAAAACAAAAACAAAAAACAATACAGCAAAACGACAAGAAAAGCAAAAACATTTAAAAACACATCCAATATCTCTATATCTCTACCTTTCATTTACTTGTATCATCGACCTCCTCACACCTCCCTTTTTTGTATTCTTGTTCAATTAGCTATTTCAGCAAATCCTTTCCATCTTTCTTGATTTTTGCTCTATAATTTATCTTAACACAATCTAACCTTAAATTTCCACTTTGACCCATTAACAATCTATTTTTACTTAATTCTTTATAACATTTCTGCTAAAGCCATATAACTTTATTCCAGCATCCTCCTAACATTCATTAATTTTACAATATTTCTGTAAATATACTTTAAATTTTTTCCAATCTTCTTCCACCAACTCTTCTTGACACCATGTCTCCCGAGTGCCTGACAGGGAGGCAGTGCACAGAAGGGGGATTTAACCCTGCTCTCTGCAGGGATTGGCTGTGTGATCGAATTCCACATTGGAGGGACCTGCTCACTCAGCAATCTGCAGGACTGACTCGCCGTCATCGGTTGAACTTGATTGTGCAGCCAATTCAGCCACGTCTCTACCTGCACCATATCTCAGGTGTGGGCTGGTGGTGTGCTTTGGGGAGAGGAGCCTTGCAGGATAGCAAAGAATAGCCAAAGGGCCCACAGCACTGGGTGACACACCTGTCCCATGGGGCACAATAGACTGGGCTCTTCTCTGTGTAGGAAGGGTGGGGAAACACAACAGTTATCATAGCAGAGATACTTGTGTGCACCAGCTTTTGGTAATGAGTGAATCTGGTTTGCTTTTAGGTTCATTACCAAAGTGGGTGGTGAATAAAGCGTCTCAGTACGTGGCACCAAAGGTAAGTTGGAGTTGTGTGGGCACATCCACGTGGCAGGATGGCTATGACTGAAGAAAGTTGCTAAGCAGGCTTGGTAGGGGGGGAAATAACTGTCCATATTGGCACACTTGTGGGAATGTTCAGGGATGCAGGAGAGGATATATTGTCTGATAATAGCCTTTCCAACTTGTGTTAACATGTTCACAATTTAGCAGAGAAACATTCCCCTTTTAAACTCAGCGGATGCGTTTGCTCAGGCTCGCTAAAGCCTCTATAATAACTGTTCTGGTATTTTCCCCTTATTCCCTCATAAAAGATAAGACACAAAACAATCTTCTATAAAAGCATAAAAAGAGTTTACTCACATTCTGTTCACAATCGGATCCCAGAAGGCAGACTTAGCTTAGAAAAGTAACATACATCTGGAAACTATCTCATAAGAAGACAGTCCCTTTGTCCTCTCTTGGCTGGAAGCAAAGATGAGAGCATCTTTGGCTAAGCAGATGTTGCTTCTTTGATGCATGTAGTCAAAAAGAGAGACAGGTAGCTGCCCTGCCCTGTGCTTTTGTCGTTACCTGCACAGGTGAGGCCACGCCCGCCTCTAGTCACATGCAGAGGAAGTCTGTCCCAGCCCAGAAGGAAACAGGAAGTTTACCTGCTGGCTGGACAAACATTCCTCCCCATGTGTAAACATGTTCACTCTAGGAATGTTGTACTTGACTGCTCTTGTGTTTCACATCCCACAACACTGTCAAAAAGTGTAGCTCTGCACAGCTAGAATATGTGAAGAGCCTGTGCTATGGGTGACACTTAAGGCAACCCCCCCCCCACACACACAACCATGGGCACTCCCTGCCACTGCCATGGGGCCATCACCGCCTCCTCCTCCGCAGGCACCCCCCACTGCCACTCCCATCGCGGTGCAAGTGTGGTGGAGCCCACGGCCAGCATCATGCCCACAGAGGAGGCAAGGCAGGGGGCGGCAGGGGGGGCGCTTATGGGAAATGTGATACAGCTGCTGGAGGAGGGAGGCAGCCAAAGAAGCCCGTTCCTCAGGCCCTCAGATCTGGCTGCCCGAGGCCCACCGCCTTACTGCATCTCATGGGCAGGCCAGCCCTTCAACCAAATGTTTTCTCAGGGACATTAACCCACCGGGCGGTACCTATTATCTACTTGCCACTTTGACGTGCTTTCAAACTGCTAGGTTGGCAGGAGCGGGACCAAGCAAAGGGAGCTCAGCCGTGTCCGGGGATTCGAACCGCCGACGTTCTGATTGGCAAGTCCTAGGCTCTGTGGTTTAACCCACAGCGCCACCCGCGTCCCTCCTCAGGGACATTAGGGAGACTCAAAAGAACTGCTAGTGTGCCCCAATAAAGGAATTAAATACCTGGTAGCTCTTAGGAGGGGCATGGAGATTTCTTCTATCAATCAGCCTCCTCTGAGGGCAGGAAATTCTGCCGTGACTGAATTCTATTTTATTTTGATTTTATATACTGTGATCTTTTTATGTGAACTGCCCTGAGACCTCTGGGTATAGGGTGGTATATAAATTATTATTATTATTATTATTATTATTATTATTATTATTATTATTATTATATGAGCCAAAGAGACCTGATGCTCACAGAGGTCATCTACTGTACCTCTGCCTCAGCCACAGCCCTGAGCCTGCTGCCTCTGTCTGCTCATGTAAAAGTGGGTCTTTGCTTTCAGTTCAGAAACACAATGCGCATCAGCAACCAGATTTTTGGCTAGTACCAACTTATTCTCCTTTTACAGGCTATGAAGACGATCTATAAGGCAGGGCTGAAGTACCCAGAGTGGAAACGGAAGCATGACCCTGGCTTTAAGCCTTGGTTGTACCCAGAACAGAACACATTGCCCAGCATTAGCCTAGCTGAGCTCTCCCTGCAGCATTCTGACTCCTTGGAGAACATCGACGAGAGCGGTCTGTCTGAAGCCAAGATGAGCCTCAGTGACGATGAGGCTTGAGGCCAGGATCTGGATGCACAGCTCATCGCCGTCCTGTAGGCTGGATGAGGCCTTCCACCATCCAGAATACAGCAGTTCTCACAGAGCCACCCCATGCCCACCCACCCAACAGAAGACAAAGCTCCCTGCCCTCCAACTCCCCACTTTCCAAGAGACACAGACACACCAGGGGCGTCGTTCAGTACTACTTTTCAAAAAGCGCATATATGACCAGTGGCCACAGTTTGCTCTTGTCTCCTTCCCTGTTTGTGAATCTTGTTGGGAAGCACCACAATTGTGCATGGGATGATGGTTTTCAGGTGGCCATGACTGGTCTGCAGAATCTCAGTGCGCAGGAATGGACACCACAGGACCAACGACCTGAGGTATCCTTTCTGTGCAGACTGAAGTGCAGAGCATCATTGTGCATCTGCCAAGAGCTTGGCGGGGATAGGGGTAGGGGATTCTCACACTTGCTGCTTTGCATTCTAGCCTTTTAGAGCCATTTGGTGGCACTCGAGGGACAATCCCACTAGCAGTGTCCTGGACTATTCACCGAAAGTTGACATTACGTATTGTAAGTGTGGAATGCGGCAGCCTCCCCTCAGACAGCACAGGACCCAGGATGGCTGGGAGGTGGCCTTCACATTCATACATAATGCTAAGCCACAGATGTCAATGGGATTACTTGGGCCTGGTACACTGTATGTGGATTGGGGCCCCTGCATTCCTCCCTCTGTAATCTATTAGCAAGAACTGCTAGTTATGCACATATATTAATTTAGCCTGGCCTACCTCACGGGGCTGTTGCAAATGGGAAGGGCAGGATAGATGCACATGACCTTGAGCTCTTGGAAGGAAAAGTCACATACAAATACATAATGCCATTCACAGATTGTGTAAAGAAAAACAAACTTGTAGAATCCCAGAAAAGCAGCCCCCCTTGTTTTAAATGCAACATTTTATAATTCTGTTACCTACTGCAAGATACCAAAACAATAATAAAAAAAAGTTGGCCAACCCTAACAAATCGATAAACAACAACAAGGGGAAAATATTGCAAGTATGTGCAGTTTCAAACTTTGCTATCTGAACTACGAAACTCAGCTGAGGCTACCTTACAGGGCTGTTGTAACGATAAAAAATGGGGAAAGGAAGACAATTATACTCCTTGAGATCCCAGCAGTTAAAGCATGATACAAACAAAAGATAAAAAGGACCCCTGGACAGTTAAGTCCAGTCAAAGGCGACTACAGTGGTACCTCAGGTTAAGAACTTAATTCGTTCTGGAGGTCTGTTCTTAACCTGAAACTGTTCTTAACCTGAAGCACTATTTAGCTAATGGGGCCTCCCGCTGCCACCGTGCCGCTGCCGCCGCCGCAGCACGATTTCTGTTCTCATCTGAAGCAAAGTTCTTAACCTGAGGTACTATTCTGGGTTAGTGGAGTCTGTAACCTGAAGCATATGTAACCTGAAGTGTTTGTAGCCCGAGTACCACTGTATGGGGTGTGGCGCTCATCTCACTTTTCAGGCCAAGGGAGCCAGCATTTGTCCATAGACAGCTTTTCCGGTCATGTGGCCAGCATGACTAAACCACTTCTGGTGCAATGGGACACTGTGATGGAAGCCAGAGCGCATGGAAATGCCTTTTACCTTCCCGCCGCATCGGTATGTATTTATCTACTTGCACTGGCGTGCTTTCGAACTGCTAGGTTGGCAGAATCTGGGGCAGAGCACCAATCTGCAAGCCCAAGAGGCTCAGTGGTTTAGACCACAGCGCCACCTGCTCCATGATACAAACATACAACAGCAAGAAGCAACACCCTCAGCATGTGCAGTTTAACAGCTCTCAGCAAAACACACACAAGGCAACCTTTTGTCAACCTTGATAAGCAAAGCTTGTGTTAAAAGTAGGAATTTTAACTTGCTGCATCCGTAAAGTGCTATAAGGTGGAATGTGACACATCAACAACATAGGAACATAGGGAGCTGCTTTGTAGTGGGTCAGACCATGGTCCATCTTGCCCAGTATTGTCTGCACTGGCTGGCAGCTGCTTTCCAGGGTTCAGGCACGAGCTTCTCCCAGCCCTACCTGCAGGTGCCATTGGGAATTGAAACAGACCTTCTGCTTGCAAGGTGGATGATCTACCATTTTCCTCAGGGGGGTGAGAGAGAGAGAGAGAAGGGGAAAGAGATCAGAGAGGTAGCACAACTCCAGCTGACTGAACAGCACTGGAGAAGAAAGTCACCACCAGGGCCACGAACAGTGGTGGTGAAGAAGGCTTTCATGCAATCTCCTCCCACACTGGCTCAGAATCATAGTCATGACTCACCAGTCTCGTAAGTAGCAAATCAGAACTGGAGTTCTAGACTCAGAAACAAGGAATTATCTGTGCTTCCCCATTTAAGGGACCTTCCCAGATCAGATGCAGACAGCAAATTATGTTAGTATGAAGAATTAATATTCATTCAGTGTGAATCAGTTTCAAGTTATTCTTTAAAGGCACAGCTTCTGTATGAGGGTGAGGGGAATAGGAACATCTTTTTCCTATCAGAGTCCAACATTCACTCTCTGCTAGGAAAAAATCTCACTGTATATAGAAAGCTGATGTATATAGAAAGCTAAGGAAGCGAAAACAACCCCCCAACTCGCTGATATGCAGAATACTACAACAGCACAGATTTTGAGACAACTTCTTGATTTAGGATTTTGGCCCAGAGCAGAGTTCAGTTTAGTTGGCGGTTAACAGCAGCACTCTTCCAGTAGGAGCAGGGAAGGCAAGACAATCCTTTTTCAGAGACCCAGCAAAGACATCCAGGAAATGAGGTGGCTCAGGAATGGAGGAGGGGTCCCACTAAATACAGCTGGGGAGCTTTCCTGTTTGGCCTGTGACTCAGGGAGCCTCCCAGTGTCCTGAGATTGGTTGGAAAGGAAATAGGAAGTTGCTGCTAGGCCTGAGATTAGCTAAACCCATCTAACATTCGTTCAGATCCAGATCCCACTGATAGACATCGCACCAGCAAAGAGATGAGTTCCTACTCTTCCCCAACTCACATCCAATTTCATTCCAAAAATAATAATTTTTAAAATGCTTTAAAGTGCAGCTGCATGGAAGGCTTTTGTGTGCAATTTAGCACTGAATTTGATCAGGATGGTGGCTGACGGGGCAAATTATGTAGATTAGCCTTTGCTGCAACCCACAGGATGTTTTGTTTGGGGCATCCAAACCAGCCTCAGCCCCACCTCTGACCTGCAGTATTAACACTTGACTCATTGCAAGGGTTGTTGCTTACTAATCCCCGGCAGTCCTAACAGTACAGAGCAGACTGCTTTGCTAGGGCTATCCTATCTCAGCCTCAATAAACCTGCATAAATTTAAAACCGTAAGGACCATAATCAATTTCACCGTAAGGATTAGGTAAATCGGGGCCAGATGTAACTTCTGCACAACAAGGGAGTGGCCTTGCAGCTCTTGGAATACAAGATTTCTACATCACAGCTGGAGCTTGGTCTAGAGCATGCGGAGACGAACTAAGGCCCGGGGGCCAGATCCAGCCCAATCGCCTTCTAAATCTGGCCCATGGACAGTCCAGGAATCAGCGTGTTTTTACATGAGTAGAATGTGTCCTTTTATTACAAATGCATCTCTGGGTTATTTGTGGGGCATAGGAATTTGTTCATTCCCCCCCAAATATATATATATATAGTCCGGCCCCCCACAAGGTCTGGGGGACAGTGGACCAGCCCCCTGCTGAAAAAGTTTGCTGACCCCTGGTCTAGAGATATGACCAGGTGATGCTTCTGAGAACATCCCCATGATTCTGAGAGGATCTGAGCACTCCAGTACAATACAAATCTTTATTGCGGTTTTAGACCAGCTTAAAAGGGTGGGATACAGTCATTTAAAATCTGAAAAGCGTTTTGGAAAGCTAAAAGGTACTAAAACAGAAGGTGAATGTAAAAGTCTATAAGAATTTTTAAAAAGCTAAAAGAATACGGTTGATATATGAAAGACTTTAACTATCAATTTACAGAGCACTCATATGTTCATTAAATCTGGGTTTTGGCGCAGGTCATCCTCCGACGAATTTTGAGCGCTGCTGTGCAGTAGAGAACGACATGCTCTACTACCGTTTCTATTTGTCCCGAGTCACAGGGGCATTGTCTCATCTTCCTGTATGCCAAGCACTCCAGAAAGAAATCGTGGGCTGAAAGTGGGCGTAGGCAGGGCAGCCTTGGGCTTGTCCGTATGTAAGTGTGCATATAGATGGCACAGCACCATGTGAGTGGATCCATTTGCAGGCTGGATGACCATGCCAATACCGCATGCACACTTAGCACTAGTGTGCTAACTCTACCGTGCCCTGAATTGTCAGCCTTCGTTATTATCATCATTAAACGTAACTCACTACTTTATTATTATTTTTTAAAGCATTTTTTCTTCTTCGGCCCAATTCCTCCCTAGAGCGCCGAGTGGCAAGGGCCGTGGATCCCTGAGCGGGGCGAGCGGCGCCCTGCCCACCCGCGCACGACCCCTTTCTTCCGTCGCTGCCGGCAGAGCTGCCGCTGGTTCGCCCCAATCCCGGCCACGAATGCCGGCTTCTCCCGCAGCCGCTCCGGCCACCAGGGCAGCGAAGGCGGAGGTTGGCGGGGCGGGCCGAGCGCGGGGCCAGAGCAGGGCCGGGGAGGGTTGCGTCCGGCCCGCGAGCTGCGCAGCCCCGAGGAGGCAGGCGGAGGCGCCGCCGCTGCGCTGCGCGGAGAGGGCGATCCTGCCGGCGACGGGCTGCAGGGGCAGGGGAGACGCGGCTCAAAGCAGGCGGGCGCCACCGAGGGAGGGAGCCTTGGCTCCCGGCCAGTCCAGACCCGGCGCGGGGCGCGAGGTTCAACTCCTGGTGCGGACGCGGGGACTTCGAAAGCGGCGCTGCACCACTGGCCCATCTCGCCCAGCGCTGCCCACACTGGCTGGCAGCGGCTCTGCAGGGTTTCCCCGCCCCACAGGGAGACGCTAACTTTTCTTTTAACCAAAAAGGTAAGCGTAGCGGGGACGGGGACCAAGGTTATTTCAATTACTACTTCACACGTTCTTTCTGGCTGATTGTTGGCTTAGATTACCTGAGGCCGCTAAAGGCAGTTTCCAGGGAGCGAGCCCTCAGTATTTCCAAGGAAGCCAACATCAATGGCACTGCTAGCAGTGAACCCGTATGCAGCAGTGTGTGTACACATTCACCAGCTTAGTTGTAAATCAGCTGGCTGATTAAAAACCTTTTTGTTAATAGAATAGGATATATACTGGCTGCAGAGTTTGGATTTAAGTTAAGTGCGGAATGAACACAGTGCGGATTGTGATGACTTGAGACCCTGCTGCTCCCTGGATTCCCCAACCCCCTCACTTGGGTGCAGTGAAGTACACCATGTTGTCTCCTCCTCCTTACTCCTTGGAACAACTCAGCTTTTCCTTTGTTTAGACTTATTTATGTTTGAGAGGACTCAAACCATTTGCCTTTTGACTGCGGCAAACCCTGCTTCCTCTCATTTCCTTATATACAGACTTGCACGCAATGGTGTGTGCTGACTCACATGACAGTACACCTGTATAATACCTGGTGGGAAGGATCAGGCACAGTTCTTACTAAGGTCTTAAACCTGTGTCTTAGCTCCGCTGCAGCAAATTGCAGGTGGACTTACATGATCAAATACTTTCTCCATACAAAGCACGTCCTTTTTAAGTCAATGCTTTTTGTACTTTTTATTGATGGTTTTTTGTGCTACAGTGGTACCTCGGGTTAAGAACTTAATTTGTTCTGGAGGTCCGTTCTTAACCTGAAACTATTCTTAACCTGAGGTACCACTTTAGCTAAAGGGGCCTCCTGCTGCCGCCACGCCACCGCCGCACGATTTCTGTTCTCATCCTGAAGCAAAGTTCTTAACCCAAGGTACTATTTCTGGGTTAGCGGAGTCTGTAACCTGAAGCGTATGTAACCCGAGGTACCACTGTATATGCTGGCTGGTTAAACCAGGTGTGGGTA